AAAAACGAATTTCGATACGCGATCGATATTTGACAGTTACAAGGTGTTGAAATGGTTGCCAGATTTTTTTTCAGCACCACTGCCTGGGAAGCCCAAAGGGTAGGGGGCGAGAACTCCCCCCATTCCTACCCTTTGGGCTTCCCAGGCAGTGACACTGTCAGGCATATTTGAACCTTCATTGGGAATTGCAATGTTTACTATGCCCCTTTGAGGAAAGTCTGATGTCTGTCCACAGACCCAAGATGCAAGACCATGATTTCTTTGAAAAGGTCAATTCCGAGTCGTGGAGCTAGGCGTAGGGTTGGAGTGTCGACCTGGCCTCAAACCCCCCCCCTTTTGCCTTTCTTTTTTTATGAATTTGACGAAGGGAGACAGATGGAGAACTACACGCGATTCACTCGACAGTCAACGACGCTCAAGGTCGACGACGTCGCATTGCCAGTCAACATTGTGAAGAATCCCAGTCCCACAACCGACTGCTGAGAAATCCCAGAACGGGACCGCTTCCCCTCCGCCCGTTCCTCAGACGCCAATTCGAAGCTCTCACTTCCGGGAAACGAAGGCGAAGAGAAAGAAGCGAAGAACGAGGACTGAGATGAGAAGAATAGAGAGGAATAGAGAGGAATAGAGAGGAATAGAGAGGAATAGAGCGTAAATGTAACTCTTTTGATAGTTTCCACGTGTCAGCGTGACACCCTCCACGTTTCCACGCGTATCTCATCTGTTTCGTTCTGCGATCCGGTAATACGAGTAAGCAAAATTACGTATAAGCTGGAGCGATCGATCGGAAGGCGAACCGAAGCGGATAGGATGACGAACGATCAGCACGAAAGCAAGAAATAGCAATGGAGCCCGAGTGCATTCGTTTACTCCAAAGGATGCCGATGGCGTGCTACGTGCTTCTGGCTCTCCACGGCCTCGTAGAGAGCCAGAACTGAACCTCCCCTCGCAAGAGCTCGGAAAGAAATGGATGGTCCTGGGCATAGAGTTAGAGAGTGCAACTGGAGGCTTCCACTCCGCTCGAATCCCATTCATCGCCAGGGTCGCAATATAGATGTCGCTGTCGATCCTCCACCTGGCGGGCGCACATCAAGAACTCTCCCATGGCCAAGCAGCGGAATCGACGAGACACGCGTGTTACGTTGATAGATCCCCTTGGGTCGAATCGCCGAATGAATCGTTTCCCGATTCCGCTGCCACGAAGCACGCCGCATGGAAGTGTTGTTGATAACAAGCCACCAGATGTCTCTGTAATATTTCGACCCTCCCCTACCCCTCAGAGTGTCGCCTCTAGTTAAACTCTCTACTCTAAGGTCCTAGGCCGAGACGTCTGGTTTTTGTAAAACGCACCTCTCGACTGCGCATGCGCATTGCACACGTGCGCTCGGCTGCGCTGAGAATTCCAACTGCCTTGTGACTGTCCCCCGATCTGAAGCGACTTTCAACACGGCATCATGAGCCGCGATTATCCACATTTTTGGCGACTCAAAATGGTCGAACGACTGGCTGAATCGAAATAGATTTGACCGCTGGTCGTCGGTACCTCACGTTCTGCTTGAAAGGAAAGGAAACTCCGCCGGAATTTTTTATCTCGGCTGAAGAGTCAGCTCAAACCAAACACCAACGCCTGTGAGTCCTGTTCTCAAGAATACCAACTCAAAACTGAAAAAAAAATAAATCCGGGATTAAGATGCAGACAGATCGACTTGGCTCGGATCATCCGGCCGATTGGATGAGCCGAATCCTCTCCTTTCGAATGTTTCAAAGAAATTTACTCGGAAAATCGATTCCTCGCTCTTGTGTTTCATCAAGGAATCGAAATGCAGGAAGGGACTCGATGAATCATGAAAATCCACATTTCAGCTGCAGTACGCAAAATTAAATCGACAATTTTCAAATTAAAATTAAATGTGACAGAAATTTCCATTCCAGAGAGAGAGAGAGAGAACTTTGTTGGTTCGAGCACTTGCACGGTTTTCAGAACAGTTGGATAAAAATTGTGGAATTTTATCGTAGGAATCCTCATCTTGGCAAGATTCCAACTGACTAGAATCAGAATTATTATTATTTTTTATTATAAATAATAAACTGGTAACATACTAACAAACTGGCCAAATAATAATATATTTCTAAAAAAAAAGAACATTCAGGTTATCATCGGTTGGCGTCATTCCCAACGTTCTCATTCGATACACCATACACGTACTGCAGAGACAAATGACAGTCCAAGGACACACCATGTCCTGTCACGAGATGAACGACCAGAAAGAATGGATGACGAAAGGCGAAAGACAATCGGGAGGATTCAGTCATCGGGGAATCGAAGCTTCTTATCTTCTTCATTGTGTCCCCACTGGGCCTTGGGGCCGAAGAGGGGCCACTTCTGGAACTCGTCCGACTTCAAGTACTCCCTGACGTTTGGGAGGTTCTCGAATCGGTCCATGAAGTCACGGACGAGCGGGAAGTCCTTGAAACATTCCGGATCCAGATACAGGTGCCAATCCAAGCTCTCGTACCATAGGAAATCCACGTATGTCAACTAAAAGGATATTCAGAAACTTCTGAATCCTAATCATTTGCAAAATTCTCATTATCAAATCGTTCTCATATTTATTAAGTTATTGTTTGAAAGAAGGAAAAGTTAAGAAATAAAAACTTAATTTTGAGACATACGCGATCTCCGACCAGCCATTTGCTATTGCCGATGAATTTCGTGAAGAGCTCCAAATGCGGCGGGAGAGTCTCCTGAAGATACTTCGAGTTGTTCTCGGGAGTCTATAGTAATTTCAAAGCATTCATCTTTCTCTGCAATGACAAATGGAGGACTGAGAGGCAACGGGAATGCACAAACGAAATCGAAATAGACAAGTTGCCTCCTGGCCCAATTGAGGTCTCCGTGTTGCTGTTCGGCCATGTCCTGTCGACACTGCTCCTCCTCCGTCTCCCCGTAGAGGCCGTGCTTCCTTCCCAGATGGCGGAGGATGGCCAGCGACTGCGACAGCTTCACCTCTTCGTCTATGTAGTATGGTAGCTGGAGAAGATGAATAAAAATGTGGATCATGGTGAATTGCAGGGTGAAAAGTTTCTGTTCGCATAGAACGGAGCAGATAGAACTTTAATTATTTAAATCATGAACATTAATTCTTTGCAGATACTCGTGTTTCGCCCGAGTTACATGGACACTCCGAAGCACTTACAGGCAATCTTTTTTCACATTCCTGTTGTTATTCCTGTTGAACTTCAACACTGGCTACGGAGAAACATGTGCGTGTGCACAGAGGATATTATGACCCTAAACATTTTTCATGAAAAAAGAGGAACATCATCACGATCCAGCTTTCCTCTTCCGTCTTTCAGTAGAGGGGACGATCGCTCACATTGGGGAAATCGAGGCCAAGTCCGTCCTTCTTGTCCTTCGCCCAGGCCTGCCTTCCAGGACCATCGGGGGCGATCTCGTACGTTTTATCCTCCCATTCCACCCCCGTGTAGGTGAGAAGATTTCGTATGCACTGGGTTCTCTGTCGCGAAGCAATTCCAGGAAGGACCGTGAAAGGAAAATGATCGCATTAGTAAGGAAATATATTAGGCCTATATATTGGGTGGTAAAAAAAATAAACGCTCTACCGTTTTTTACGGGAGAAACGCAGTTTCATAAATGCAGCAAAAAAATTTTAATTCGATACGCGATCGATATTTGACAGTTACAAGGTGTTGAAATGCTTGGCAGCTTTTTTCTGCATCACTGCCTAAGTCGTGCAATGCCCATGTAGAGGTGAATTAAAGGTGCTTAGAGGTGGATCATCTTAAGTGAGGTGATGTTCTCGACCGTCTCAGAATTCAGTGACATTTTAAACTTTAACTTTTCAGGGAACTGTTGGATCCAGCTGATACTTGACCGTCCCTTGAAAAGCTGAAGTCGAAAAGTTAATTGAATTATGAGACGGCCAAGCACAGGCAATCACCTCAGTTGAAGTGAAATGATTCACCTCTAAGCACCTTTAATTCACCTCTAAATGGGCATCGCACGACATTGGCAGTGGTGCTGAAAAAAAATCTGGCAACCATTTCAACACCTTGTAACTGTCAAATATCGATCGCGTATCGAAATTCATTTTTTTTTGCTGCATTTACGAAACTGTGTTTCTCCCATGGAAACCGGTACCAGGAGCAAAATAAGGAAAATTTCTTTCTCAAGGACGAAAGATCTGCTTCTTGACACAATGAGATGGAGCGTGAAAAGAGGGTGAAACAAAGCGAGACTGGTTGAATCGCTTCATCCTTATTTTGGAATCGAATGAGTTTCGATCCTTACGCTTTGAAAGCACCTCGCATTCATCAGACACAAGAAGATTGAAAGCAGTGAAGGAGGCACGCTCGCTTTCTCCTCCATTATCATTTCGTGACGTCATCAGTCTCTCGTCGATGGTCGAAGGAGGAAGTGACGACTGAACTGTCTGAGGTTTGCAGGAATGATGTCGTTCCTGACGCGCTTCTCTCAGTAAAATGTTCTCGGGGATGTTCGAGCCTTTTCCCCTCTCTTTTCCTTCTTGAGAGGGCTTCACCCACTGCGCATGGCAGGAGTTGAAGTCTCAAGAACGTTATGTCGGAGCCGGCGTCGAAGCTTCTCTGTGGCTTCAGGGTATTTTTCCAGATGTCGAAGGTTCGACAAATTTTCCCTCAGAGCAACTCTGGTGGCACGCAGGTTGCGAGATACGAAAACGCGGATTCCCAGGATTACAGGGATTGGGTCCAGATTCTCCTCGCTCGGGCCCACAACCGATTGATGCTCGAGAAACAGACCGATGAAGAGAATCGATTCGACCCAGTGCTTCAACGCTCCGACCCAACGAACCGAACGTCTCGAACGTGTGGTCATGCGAGATCTGGGACCTGAGACTCGTTTCGTCTTAGAGGAGCTGGGGATCATACGAGGTCGATGCAAATGTACTCTAAAGAAAGTCCAAAGTAGTCGAAGAGGTTAATGGGTCCAGGGACTCGGGTGCATCGCCGATCCTAAGAGAGCCGTTTGGTCAGTCGCGAAGTGGAATATCGATCTAATTACTGGAAGTTCAACAAAGCCACTCCTCGTATTACGACCCAGACCGACTGGGTGGTCGTCCTCAATGATCTGTGAAAGCATTCAGGAATGAGCATGAATTCGTCTTGATTTAGAACAGGTCCCTTCACAATCTACGCGAGGGTTATTCACTCGAGTGATTCGAAGTTGATTTATCCGAGCGTCGAGCATTTCATCCTGGCCAGAATTAGAGCGAATCGACACTTTCCAGAGCGACTGGAGAATCGCAGGAGGAACTGACCCAGAGGGAATTCCTTCCCCAAGAGCAAGCGCGATCGGCGCCTGATAAGGCAGAGGCAGAGGCGATGCATTTCATGCGCAGGGCGGGTCGAGTTCAAGGGAGGGCAGGTGCCATTTCCATTCGTTGTTTGCCTGAACTGACACGAGGCCGCTTTTGCCGATTTCCAACAAATGAACCACTTGCTTCAAATGAACAATTTTTTTTTTTTTTAGACTGGGTAATTTTCTCTTGAGGAGGACTCGCCTCGAGTCGTTCGTTCCTCTCATGCATCTCGCAGTCTGAACACCGTGAATTTCGATTTCGGTGGAAGGAGGACGCACATACGAGCCAAATCACGGATTGGGGATCGTAACTCGGACCGAAGGAAGCGTCGTTGCCATGCTGCGAAGCTCAACCTGGACTCGAGCATATTGAAGCGTCGAGGTTCCGTGGGTGGAAGAGCTCGATCGAGTCGCATCGCGACTCGGTTCGCACAAAGGATCCATGTAAAATGAAAAAAAAAAAGAAACTCACTCCGCGGAAATTCCAGTATCCCAGAATGGGAGCCATCGTCCGCTCCAATCGACGACGTACTACACTCGAGTCGATCTCATCCGCACTCTCGGTACAAACATAAACGAGCGGGAATATCCGAGGCAGGCCGAAGGCATCGAGTAAATGGAGAACTCGAGTTTGGAAGCGACCTTGAAAGACTCTTATGAATGAGGGGGGGTGAGGACTCCATTCTCCTGTCATCTCAGTCTTTTTGCCTTTCAGCTTGTCACATGTCATAGCGAACTTCCCCTATGGGAACAAGTGCATGCAGGTGGACGTGTTGCACAGACGAAAGAGCCATACGATAATGCTTGGACATCAAGGACTCGAATTGCGAGCTGGTTGGTGAACATAGCCATGCGTCCGTGTATATAAAATCTGTTGAAATATCAAATTTCTCTGGAAATGAGTAGATCCAAATAGTGTTCCCAAAGAAAAAAAAAGGAATTAATGGTAGCATTTTTTATTTTAGAATTTTATAGAATGCGAAGTGCCTTCTAGAAGGCTCGTATCCGCTGAATTTATGGTGAACTCGAAGCATTGGCTGGTGGAGGGATACGGCATAAATCGCAGTTGTGAACTGCAGGTGCCGTTTGAAAGCGCCTGGCATGGTTCGGACTCGATCCCAAGCCCACAGAGTTTCATTTGACGACTCTCACACCTACCTGGATTGCAGAAATTGGTTATTGCAATTAATCATGTTTAGACGTTGCCAATTAACCAGAATCTGATATCCCATGGAATATAAGAATTCCCTTGAATAATACCCTAAAACAATTGCTAAAGGGCATTCAATATCACATATAACCAATTTCGCTTCGTCGTCATCGTTGAGCAAATAACTTTGATTCGATCCAATTAGAAGATCGTCTTTTTGGAAAAAAAAGTTTCATGCAGACTTAAAAATAATTTCTCGACGACATTCAGTGGCTCCATTTCCAATCTTTCGCAACAACCCGTCCCAGTATACCGTCAAATGAAAGACACCAGCTTCAGAACGAACTGCTTTCATAGCGAGACGTCGAACGGAATGAAAGGACAGCGAAGGAAACGGAGGTCTTTCAGCCATCTGGGAATCGAAGCTTCTTGTCTTCTTCCTTGTATCCCCACTGGGCCATGGGGCCGAAGAGGGGCCACTTCTGGAACTTGTCCGACTTCAAGTACTCCTTGATGTTCGGGAGGCTCTCGAATCGGTCCATGAAGTCACGGACGACCGGGAAGTCATTGAAACATTCCGGACCCAGATACAGTTGCCAATCCAGGCTCTCGTACCACAGGAAATCCACGTATGTCAACTAAAAGGATATATTATTCAATATATTATTATTTAATAGGATATCCAGAAACTTCTGAATCCTAATAATGTTCAAAATTCCCAGTATAAAATCCTTCTAAGATTTATTACTTTTGTTGCTTCAAAGAAGGGAAAATAAAAAAGGAAATATAAATATAAAATAATTTTGAGACATACGCGATCTCCGACCAGCCATTTGCTATTGCCGATGAATTTCGTGAAAAGCTCCAAATGCGGCGGGAGAGTCTCCTGAAGATACTTCTCTTTGTTCTCGGGAGTCTAAAATAATATCAAAGCATTCGTTTTTTTTTCTGTGATGGCAGTTGAAGGACTAATCACTGAGAGGCAACGGGAGTGCACAAACGTAATTGAAATAGACAAGATACGCCCTGGCCCAATTGAGGTCTCCATGTTGCTGTTCGATCATGTCCTGTCGACACTGCTCCTCCTCCGTCTGCCCGTAGAGGCCGTGCTTCCTTCCCAAATATCGAAGAATTGCCAGCGACTGCGACAGCTTCACGTCCCCGTCTATGTAGTATGGCAGCTGGAAAGATGTAGTTAAAAAAAAAGAATTGGGGAGAATTGCAGTGCAAAATTTTTCCATTCACATAGAACTGAGCAGATACAACTTTCATTGTTTAAAGAAGCAATATTAATTCTTTACAAAGACTTGTATTTTGTCTTAGTTACATGGACACTCGGAAGCCCATAGAGGCAGTCTTTTCTTCTCCACTCTCCTATTCCTTTCATTCCTGTTGGACTTCAGCATTGGCTAGTAAGAAAAATGTGCGTGTGCACAGAGGATATTATGGCTCTGAATATTTCTCATGAAAAAAGAGGAATATCATATTTCAACCTTTCCTCTCCCGTCTTTCAGTAGAGGGGACGATCGCTCACATTGGGGAAATGGAGGCCAAGTCCGTCCTTCTTGTCCTCAGCCCAGGCCTGCCTTCCAGGGCCATCGGGGGCGATCTCGTACGTTTTATCCTCCCATTCCACGCCGGTGTAGGTGAGAAGATTTCGTATGGGCTGGGCTAACTATCATGGAAAGAATTTCATGAACTACAATGCTGTGGAAATTAATACATAAATGTGGAATTTAATTTCAAGCATACGCGAGGAACGCTTTCACACTCGTTCCAAGAACCTCCAACAATGCACAATCAAAATATATTCCCTAGGTGCTAATGATCAGCTTCGTGATCGGTCGCTTATCAATTGATTGAACACACTCCATAGAATTCTTGCAGGAGCATTTCAAGGATGGTTGAAGCGGTGTGAAAAGGGTGTAGTTCAAAAGGAAGATACTTCCAAGAAAAATTCACACCCCGAAAACTTTTCATGGATGCAGAAACGCAACAAGAATATCCATTCCGCTTCGACGAAAGTTTATCGCGATGTAGACGACAGTAAGCAAAGTCGGTTTGCCTTTTTCTCTTGAAAGCAAATCGTGAAAGCAGTTCATGATTTTTGAAGCTTAGGGTTTTCGTGGGTCCCGTCGAAAGATATCGATGGAAAGGAATAATGGCATGGTCTCATAAATACCCTTTGATTTGCTACTACTTAACCCTTAAACGATCAAGCTGGGCCCAATTTGACCCAGAGCCTATATTATAACACACGAAACAATTCGTAGAAAAAAAAAGGTCATTCAAGCTCATTTAACATTGTTTTCAGGATATTTGCCATATACTGGAATGCAAAAACGGGCCTATTGGCTCTGGGTCAAATTAGACCCGGCTTCATTGGTAAAGGGATTAGGCTTGGTAGTTTAAGGGTTAAAATGAGGAAGGAACTCACTCCGCGGACATTCCAGTATCCCAAAACGGGGGCCATCGTGCACTCTGCTCAATGCATGGGGAGAGACTACACTGGGGTCCCTCTTATCAGAATCCCTCTTATCAACCGCACTCTCGATGTAAACAGGCAGAAGAGCCGACGCAGGCAGAAGCGGAGACGAGTGAATGGAGAATTCGAGAGTGGGAATGAAGCGACCTTGAAAAACGGCGGTGGAGGTGGGTGAGGGCTCCAGTCACTTGTCATCCCTGTCATTGGTCGGCTTTCAGCTTGCCACAAGTCGCAGAGGACTTCTACTATGGGGCCCCACATGGACATATGTTTGAAGCAGACTAAAGAGCCATGCATGCTGCCAGCTATTCATCTAAACCCCTGTTCAATGTATAGTGAATTCAATCCTAGCTTTCGCATATTCTCATCAGAGGTCTTTCCTTGGATTTCATTATTTTTTACGAATACTTGATTGGCATAGAAAAATCACGCCTACTTTGGGGAGAATAACTCTGGACCAAATTAGTTTGCAGGAAGAGCGGTTAATGGAATATTCAATGTATTTACATTGATGAGAGAATTTGTTAAAATCGAATTGCGAATATAGAAGTGAAAAATTCCTTGATTAGGGTTCATTAATGTAGGCAATCATCGCTGGAAACTGACTTTGATTTTTTTTTTACATTGCGTTTACGTAAACAAATAACAAATGTGGAATGGCAGAGTGATTTTAACAGCTGACAGCCCCGTAGAGAGACTGTTAACGATTGTGGAGTCCACGACATCACCGATTGCCGAGCGGAGATACATGAGAGAAAAGGAACCTGTCCGGTTCCCAAGAGAAAAGTGTGTAGCGGTTCGGAGTCCATTCCAGCCTCAAGGATAACAATCAGAATCCATGAAAGAAAACTCCGACATCGACCTCTGATCTTGAAAGATGGCTTGATTTCAATTTTCGCCTTCGCAACTACCTATTAATACGTCCTGAAGGGACAAATGAAAGAGTGGGGCGTCAATAAGAAGCGCTTTCATCTCGCTTTTATCTTTTATCTCTACAAGGAAAAGATGTGTATAGGAATGTTGGGAGAAAAATTTTGGAATTTCATCCATCGGGGAATCTGAGTTTCATCCCTTCATCCTTGAATCCCCACAGGGCTGTGGATCCAAATAGAGGCCACTTCTGAAACTTATCCGACTTCAAGTACTCCTTGATTTTCGGGAGGTTCTCGAAACGTTCTATGAAGTCACGGACGACTGGGAAGTCCTTGAAACATTCTGGGTCCAGATACAGTTGCCAATCCAGGACTTCGTACCACAGGAAATCCACATATGTCAACTGAAAGGATATCCAAAAGCTTATTGACATGTATCATGTATATTTGTATAAAAACAATGAAATCAATAATGAGGTTTACTAAGTAGTTAGAAAGGAAAGCAATTAAGTGACATACACGATCGCCGAGGAGCCAGTTGCGATTGCCGATGAACATGGTGAAAATTTTCAAATGTGTCGGAAGAGCCTCCTCCAGATATTGAGCTTTGCTCTCAGGCGTCTAAAAAAAAAAATAAAAAAAGAGATAAATTCATGTGTCTTGGTGATGATGGAGTTGAATCAGTTGGGAGACCACTAAGTGCACAGACGAATTTGTAGTAGACCGCACGAATCATGGCCATCTGGAAGTCCCCCTGCTGTTGTTCGGCCATGTCCTGTCGACACTGCTCCTCCTCCGTCTGCCCATAAAGGCCGTGCTTCCTTCCCAAATGGCGGATGATGGACAGTGACTGCGACAGCTTCACATCTCCGTCTATGTAGTATGGCAGCTGGAAAGATGCAAAGAAATCATCAGGGTGCATTTCAGTTTAACATGTATTTGTTAAAATAGTTCAACGGAAGTGCTTTGGAGACTCGTGGGCCAATTCCATGAAAACTCGGAAGCTGTTAGAAGTACTAAGTATTCAGTCTAGCATTATTGTCCCGATTGAACTTCCATTCTGACTAAAGCAGTTTTTTCCGGATTAAGGCCATAATATTTGTACGTAAAAAAAATTCTCACGAGGGTGATAAATATCAAGTTCCAACTTTTCGTTTCCTTCCTTTCAGAATATCATGGTTACTCACATTTGGGAAATCCAGGCCAAGTCCGTCCGTCTTGTCATTCTCCCAGGCCTGCCTTCCAGGACCATCGGGAGGGGATGCCTCGTACACTTTATCCTCCCATTCCACTCCCGTGTAGGTGAGAAGATTTCGTATGGGCTGCGCTAACTGTCATCAGATAATATCATGAAGTACAAATTAATAAAGGAGGAAATGATTACATCATGAAGAAAATACATTTTCGATATGCAAGTTAAGTTATCACGCATTCTAGGACCCTCCCACAAGGAAGAGTGTGCTAAAAAAGATGCGTTTCCAAGGCTATACTCAAGGCTCATCTCATCGATCAGCCGTTTACCAATGAATTAGGCATACCCCATAGGGTTTTTTCAGAAGCCTTTGAATAATGGCTGAAGCAGGGAGAAGAAGTGTATCGCGATAGGGGATAATTTCGAGAAGTACTACCATTGAAGTGTTCGTTTCCTTTTTTGAAATTGAATGAATGTATTTAGATAAGTACGTATTGAATGCACCTCATATTGAGCGAGAAACAAGAAGACTGTAATCCCAGGATCCAGGAATGCCTTCTGGCGCTCCCGTCTCACTCGCGTCTTGGGCACGGATTCGCGCCTACCGGCCTATCCCAGTAGGGACCGAGTGCCGTGGTTCTATACGCTCGTGGTTTTGGTCAGAGTATTCAGTAGCCTCAAACGCATGAATTAGCATAAATCTATATTTCGAGTCCAATCCACGAATTACCGAAGGGTCAAGCATTGTTCCCGACCGATAATGAATGGGAAGGAACCCTTCTAAAAGCGCGGGAGAGGAGCTCATCCACCTGGACATCAATCGGCACCTCATGAGACGGAGCTTCTTTGGAGTATTTCGGAGCGGAATGAGTTAAAGATTGGACAGTCCTCCCTTCTCCACCTGAACCAGTCTTGCTGGCGAGGTAATTTTCGCAAGAAACAGCCGCGAGTAGTCGATTTCCATCTACCATCCATGCTTTCTGCAGTCAGGACCACGCGAATGCTGGAATGAACAAAATATCGTTCCCGAGATTTAAGGGCACCTTATTATGGAGGAAAAATGATGTAGTATGTGAGTTGTCTGCATTGGTGACTCCATTCTGGGGGAATCCACCTGCAAGGAAGTTTCCTCGATTCCGAGGAAACTTCGGGCTTTCGTGTGTACTGTCGAAAGAATCTAATCGAGAAGAATGGCTTCATAATTACCCAATGATTTGTATCTACCTAAAATGAGGAAGGAACTCACTCCACGGAGATTCCAGTATGCCAGAACGGGGGCCATCGCACTCTGCTCCTCCACACAAGAGAGACCACACTGGAGTCGCACTTATCTTCCACACTCGAGATGCTCCATCCTCCAAACTCTTAGTGCAAACGGACGGGGAGCGGACGCAGGTCGAAAGTTTTATCCTCCCATTTCACTCCCGTGTAGGTGAGAAGATTTCGTATGGGCTGGACTAACTATCATAAAACATGAAGTACAATAATGTGGAAATGTATACGTAATTATGGAATTTAATTTTATGTAGACGCGAGGAATGCTTTCACACCCATTCCAAGAACCTCCAACAACACACAATCAAAATATATTTCCGTGGTGCTAATGATCAGCTTCGTGATCGGTCGCTTATCAATTGATTGAACACAGTCCTTAGAATTCTTGCAGGAGCTTTTCAAGGATGGTTGAAGCGGTGTGAAAAGGGTGTAGTGCAAAAGAAGATACTTCCAAGAAAAATCCACACCCTGAAAACTTTTCATCGATGTCAATGCAACAATAATATCCATTCGCCTTGACGACAGCTTATCGCGATATATAGATGGCAGTAAACAAAGTCGGTTTTGCTTTTTTCTAGAAAGCAACTGCACGTTCATCGTTCATGATTTTTGTAGCTTAGGGTTTTATTTGGTTCGGTCGAAAGACATCGATCGAAAGGAATTATGACATGGTCTCATAAATCCCCTATGATTTGCATCTTCTTAAAATGAGGAAGGTACTACGCGGACATTCCAGTATCCCAAAACGGGGGCCATCGTGCACTCTGCTCAATGCATGCGGAGAGACTACACTTGAGTCCCTTTATCTTCTGCACTCTCGATGTAAACAGGCGAGAAGGAGACGCAGGCAGAAGCGGAGACATGCGAATGGAGAACTCTTGGGTGGGATGGAAGCGACCTTGAAAGACGGCCTGGAGGGGTGAGGGCTCCAGTCACTTGTCATCCCTGTCATTGGTTGGCTTTCAGCTTGCCACACGTCATAGTGAAGTTCCACTATGGAGCCCCACATGGACATATATTTGAGGCAGTCTAAAGAGCCATGCATGCTGCCAGGGCATCAACAAGTCGAATCATTCATCCATAAACATAGCCATTCACCAAAGTCTCGTCTCAATAGATCGCGAATCAAATCCTATATCATTCTGACTTCCCAATGTTCTCATCGGAGAGGTCTTCCCTTGAATTTCATTGTTCATGCTGATGAATCCCCGATTGGCGAAGCAAAACTGAACTACTGTGTGGTGAATAACTCTCGGCAAAATCAGTTTGCTGGAAGGGCGGTTAATGAAATATTCAACGTGTTTTCAACGATGGCAGAATTTGTTAGGTATCGAATAAGGAATATAGACGTGAAAAAAAGTTAAGAGGTAAATTGAACACTATTGATTTGAGCTTAGGTTAGTGCATGATCTTGAGTGACCAAGATTTTTTCATGCTTACCGCGATGTGATTCCAGATTGACTTTCTCTTGTGAGCATTTGAAATTTAACTGATGCTGCCGCGAGAAAAGTTCTAGCACAGCAAACTTGGATCGACACCATTCTCGTCAGCAAAGTCACTGTCAGGAAGTAAATATAGCAAAAGGTGTCACCGGGCAGAAAATGCGCATGGGATTCTTCTAATTTGAAAAAAAAAAGAATTCTATTAAGTACTTATCACATATATTCTAATAAAGCACAATGTATAATTTATCGCCATTAAAAGTGAAACTCTTTGATTAAGGTAGGCATACTTCCTTAACTCAAGCAATCCACCGGTGGACACTGAAAATCAGATTGTTATTCTTGGTCCTGTGCTCACTTACACAAGCTCAATGCGGAATGGCAGGTTGATTTTTACAGCTGACAGCCACCGTAGAGTCACTGCTGATAATTGTGAATTGGGTGCTTCCCCTATCGAATGCAGATATTCAAGAGAAAAAAAAAACCTGTCGGGTGTCCTACAAAAAAGTATGTCTCAGTTAGGACTCCATTCCAAGTCTCTAGGATTTCAATCAGAATTTAAAAAAACTCCAACATCGAACTCAAACGCAGAATTTCGTTGTAACTGTGTTTCAAATTTTGACGTTGCATTTGACGATAATCGGTAATCCCTTAGAATATAAGGAGGCTCGATTTCAGTTTTCGCCTTCACGACTATTTATTTCAGAATACGTACTGAAGGGACAAATGAAAGAGTCCGGCGTCAGTAAGAAGAGCTTTCATAGAGAGTTGAATAGGAGGAAAAGATGGGAATAGGAATGATCGAAGGCGATTTCGAAAATTCATCCATCGGGGAATCGAAGCTTCATCCCTTCTTCCTTGTGTCCCCACAAGGCCATGGATCCAAAGAGAGGCCACTTCTGAAACTTATCCGACTTCAAGTACTCCTTGATTTTCGGGAGGTTCTCGAAACGTTCGATGAAGTCACGGACGACCGGGAAGTCCTTGAAACATTCTGGATCCAAATACAGTTGCCAATCCAGGACTTCGTACCACAGGAAATCCACGTATGTCAACTGGAAGGATATGTAGAACCTTATTGACATGCATTATGTATGTGTATATAAAAACAGTGAAATCAATAACAAAAAATAGACTAATTAGGGGGAAAAGTAATTATGTGGCATACACGATCGCCGAGGAGCCAATTGCGATCGCCGATGAATTTCGTGAAGAGCTTCAGATGTGTCGGAAGAGCCCCCTCCAGATACTCAGCTTTGCTCTCAGGCGTCTAAAATGAGATAAAAATTAATTTTAATATTCGTGTGTCCTCGTGATGATAAAGTTGAATCACGGGGAGATCACGAAGTGCACAGACGAATTGGAAGTAGACCGCACGAATCATGGCCATCTTCAAGTCCACATGTTGCTGTTCGGCCATGTCCTGTCGACACTGCTCCTCCTCCGTCTGCCCGTAGAGGCCGTGCTTCCTTCCCAGATGGCGGATGATGGACAGCGACTGCGACAGCTTCACATCTCCGTCTATGTAGTATGGGAGCTGGAATGATGTTGGGAAGTCATCAGGGTACATTTCAGGGTAAAATGTATCCGTTCAAGTTGAATTGAGTAGATCCCAAAATTGTTTATAAGGAGTGCTGTGGGGTTTTCGTGGGCCGGTTGCATGAACACTCGGAAGCTGTCAGTAATACTATAAACTTTTCATTCTAGCATTATTGTCCCGATTGAACTTCCAGTCTGACAAAGAGTCTGACATTGTCTTCCAGTTTTCCGATGCAGGCCATAATATTCGTACTCAAAAAATCTCTTATCAAGTTTCAACTTTTTGTTTCCTTCCTTTCAGATTATCGAGATGATTACTCACATTCGGGAAATCCAGGCCAAGTCCGTCGTTCTTGTCGTTCTCCCAGGCCTGCCTTCCAGGACCATCGGGAGGGGAGATCTCGTACGTTTTATCCTCCCATTCCACTCCCGTGTAGGTGAGAAGATTTCGTATGGGCTGTCCTAACTGTCCCAAGACGATATCATGAAGTACAAAGTAATAAAGGAGGAAATGATTGCACCATGAAGAAAGTACATTTTCAACTTGCGAGGTATGTTTTTGCACATTCTATAGAATGTACAAAAATGCGTTTCCAAGGCTATACTCAAGGCTCATCTCATCGATCAGCCGTTTACCAATAAATTAAGCATGCCCCATAGGGTTATTTTCAGAAGTCCTTGAATGATGGCTGAAGCAGAGAGAAAGAGTGTATCGCGATAGGAGATAATATCGAGAAGTGACTACCATTGAAGTGTTTGTTTCCTTTTTTGAATTTGAATAATGTGCTTAGATAAGTACGTATTGAATGCACCTCAGCGAGAAACTGAAATGAAATGAAATGAAAGCGAGAAATGAGCGAGAAACAAGAAGACTGTAATCCCAGGATCCAGGAATGCCTTCTGGCGCTCCCGTCACACTCGCGTCTTGGGCACGGATTCGCGCCTACCGGCCGATCCCAGTAGGGACCGAGTGCCGTGCTTCTATACGTTCGTGGTTTTCAGAGCTGCGCCATTTGGGGAGGTAGCGAGACAGGATGCTGAGGTAATTCTGGAAAAATGTGAATTTGAAAACTCATTTACTCCTCGTACGAGATCCCGGACCGGGTAGGTGGTCCTCCTCGATGCTCGGTTAGAGCATTCAGCAGCCCCAAGAGCATGAATCAGCCTGTCTCTATTTCAAGTCTAATCTACGAATTACCCAAGAGTCAAGCTTTGTTCCCGACCGATAATAGAGCGAACCGACACTTCCAAAAGCGACTGGAGAATCGCGGGAGAAGAGCTCATCCATCTTCACATCAATCGGCACGAGACAGAACTTCTATGGAGAATTCAGCGGAATGAATTAAGAGGCTGGACAGTCCTCCCTACTCCACCTGAACCAGCCTTGCTGGCAAGGTAACTTACGCAAGAAAACAGCCACGAGTAGCCGATTTCCACTAACCATCCAGGCTTCCTGCAGTCTAAACGCCGCGAATGCTGGAACGAACGAAATATCGTTCGAAGGATTTAAGGGCACCTTCTTATGGAGTACGAAAGATGGCGTAGGATGTGAGTCGTCCGGGGAAATCCACCTGAGAGGAAGCTTCGGGTTTGCGTGCATACCGTCGAAAGAACCCGACCGAGAAGCATGGCCTCATAATCACCCTACGAATTGCATCTATTAATACTTAAAACGAGGAAGGAACTCACTCCACGGAGATTCCAGTATGCCAGAACGGGGGCCATCGTGCTCCTCGACGTACGGCGAGACTAGGCTCGAGTCGATCTTGACTTCCACACTCTCGACACAGCGGGACGAGAAGAGAGGACGCAGGTAGAAAGCAGCTAGCGAAGGCGTCAAGGGAATGAGAAACTGAATAGAAGCGACCTTGAAATTCTCTATGGAGTGTGGGGGGGGGGGGGGAGAGGGTGAAGGCTCCTTCTCCCGTCATCCATGACGGCCTTCAGCTTGCCTTCTGTCAATGCAAACTTAGTCGATGGGATTAAATCGCCCCCCCCATGTGGATATGACGTCACATTGGTTCAACCAAGGTTGAATTTCACGTTTTAGAGCATGAAAATCGACCATAGTAATTTTCTACACAAAAGGCACTTCCACCATGGATGAATTGTTAAGTTCCTCCTTTTTGGGTGACATGTACCGAATCCGTTTCAGCTAAACTAATCTGATCTCACGATGGGAATCAGTTTAACTGTATTCCCATAGACGCCAGTTACGAGAAGGAATCAGTTGAAAGTTGAAGGATCTGGTGCATGTCACCCTTTATCGTTTGGCTGAATTTTCAGGTGGAACCTTGTTCCACTCTCGTGACGATATGCAACATTTATTTGGCCGAAAGAGCCATTATGTCATGTACTCGAACGGGTTTTTCTATCCATTTGCGACCCCTTTCACTCCTTTTTTATCCTCGCCATCGGGCATGAACCCAGCCCCCTCACCTTGGGTACCTCCGTTCGGAGGATATTCTGTTCTAGAAATACTAAACCTTGTGCAAATGGTAAAAAGTGTATTTCCTTTTCCTACCATGCAAATACTGTTCACGTGAGGCTTGGCGCTGAACCTACGCCGACGTCAGCCTGCTACAATAGTGGCAAAAGAATCAACGCTACCCATCTCTCAACAGTCTCTCCAGTAGTTAATCGTACTTGCTTCCTCACAGTCTGATCATATCGACATTGGCCGGTAAAAATTGTATATTTCTTGAAACGAAACCCTGGACCTGTTCCTCGCCTCTGCTAAACTTATTCTAAACTCTAACTAAATCTCCGAGTGGGGATTTTTTTGGGTTGAAAATCTTACTTAGACATTTAGACTGGGTCTAAATGTTGGGAGGAAGGAGGAGAAACTTCAATATCGTTTGTTCCAATCCACAAGTCCATGAATATCTCTTTTGAGTTGCGATGTGAAATAAGGTTGACGACAGCCACCTTGGTTTCTGTTTGCAAATCCTTTCAGATCAGATCTTAGACTCGGGCCAGGCTATCAGTTCTTTATCCATAGGGGATCGTATAGTCAATTTCTTCGTATCACCGAACGCTAGGACCCTTCGGGCGGGAACGTGTCCAGCTGATGGACCGCTGGTTGTGGAGAGGTCGGGAAGGGCGATCCCCGACGAGATTCCAGGCATTTCGCTAAGTTCATTCGCTTTCTTGAATTTCTCGCAGTCTCAATTTGCTTGTAATTTCTTTCTACTGTAATGCGCCTCGGTGTGTGTTGCTGTCGACTTCGCTTTCAGCACCTTGGTTGCCCGTTTCTGGATTTTAGGGGATTTGGAATGTCTCTCATGTGGTACAGAATTTCGATAAACCTTATGGTTTAGAGAAATCTCAATGTCGCGGCATGCACCATTAAGATGTTCTAAAACCGTGGCTCTGAAAATTGTTCTTCAAGGGCTACTTCCATTTCCACGTGCAGATGGCTGGCTCAACGGTGCCGTGCCTGCGCTCCTGCCTGTCTCCACTGAGACGCACAAACACGCGACACGTGGAAGGCTGGCGAGGGATGTAGATGACGCCGTTGATGACGTCACTAGCAGTTGATGACGGCACTAGACTAAAGCGCGTGAGAAAGGCGTCTACAACATTTTGCAAATGAGTTCCTACCATCTTTGACATGGGACCCATGTTTTCTACGAAGGAATCCTCCCGACTTTGACGTCTGCGCTTCGTCGCGGCGCCTGGGCGACATCCAAAATACGTACAATAGTGATTCGAGAACGTAGTGGCAAAGAATAAAGTCGTTTGAAGGAAATTTTTTTTCTTTTTGCATTCCAACCCATCATTTTTGATGGGTTGGAATACCAAAGATTCGAAAAGCGTTATGCCCAGCGGCCAGATGAATGAGCTGGATGGCATGAGTGGACGAGGGATTACCAAGGAACAGCCGGGAATCGAACCCGGGCCCCCTGCTTGGCTTGAGTATTCGTAAAATTGGAATTCTATAGAAGCCGAATAAAAGGAAGTATAGCTATGAAATAATATCTCTGGCTTTGGGTCACGAATTCCTTCGTACCAACAGATTGTTAGGCATTCTGCTAAATATGGAAAAAAAATCAAATCAAGGATGTTGCTATATTCAATTAGAAGGCCCAACATAAACATAAGTACGTCAAGTATTTGACATCCAGGGCACGAGACATGAGAGTTAACGACTGCCTAACCTGGTGCTTGGCAACGATCCTGTTTCTCTACGACTCGTCTATCCTTTCATAAGGGCAACACGACATCATCTTTGCTGTATGGCAGTTCCCAAGAGACTGACCGATTGGTGGGGTGTGGCGCTATGACGGAGGACGCTATGGAGGGAAACTCTCCTAGTCGTTCTTCCAGGAACGTGATCACGACGCAAAGATCCACCAATCAGGAGCATGATGACGACGCCAAGATCCACCAATCAGGAAGGAGAGGAAGACGCAGAGATCCACCAATCAGGAACGAGATCACGACGGAAAGATCCCCAATCAGGAACGAGAGGACGACGCAAAGATCCACCAATCAGGAACGAGAGGAAGACGCAAAGATCCACCAATCAGGAGCATGATGACGACGCCAAGATCCACCAATCAGGAACGTGAGGAAGACGCAGAGATCCACCAATCAGGAACGAGAGGACGACGCCAAGATCCACCAATCAGGAGCATGATGACGACGCCAAGATCCACCAATCCCCCGAATTATTTCCCCCCGAGTGTCTTGATTCGATTTCCTCCTTGATGAAAACAGAATAATGGAAACAGAGGAAGCAAAAGCAGACGATTTGACTAAACCCGTGGGTTCATCGAAATTCTTAATCCCACAAAATCCTCTGACATTTACGTGGATAGCAGAAATTTCCAAGAATCTAATTCAGGCTTGCCAGGTAAATTTAACATTTGAACATTTTGAGCAGCTTGGGTGCATGGTGTTGAGTGATTTAGGAATGCCGGTCGACGCTCAACGACGCGTAGGGTGAGCGAAATTCCGGTTCTCAAAATGTTGAATTTGCTTAAAATGTGGCTGTGATTCACTCAAGACACCGTATGGAACTCTTCATGACGTTTCTATTAGATTCACGACTATATTCAGTCACTTGAAGAAAAAGTGAGGTTTTAATATGCAAATTTTGTGAGAAAAATGAGAAATTTCCCATTTTAGGGAAAATTTTTCTCCATGTAGCGGACAAAAAGCCAAACGAAAGACTCGCTTTTTCAAATACATCTGAAAGAGAAGTGCAACTTACTGTAAGGAGAGATTCGTCTTTTCCCTCGACACATAGGAGTACTTTGCCATTTCTTCCACTCCTCGGCAGTGATTTCGAGTGTCTCTCATCACTTCTCGCGAGCCGCAGAACCCCATGCTACTACGACTTCATCCACATCCTGGTGACCTCCGTTCGGAGGATATTCTGTTCTAGAAATACTAAACCTTGTGCAAATGGTAAAAAGTGTATTTCCTTTCCCTACCATGCAAATACTGTTCACGTGAGGCTTTGCGCTGAACCTACGCCGACGTCAGCCTGCTACAATAGTGGCAAAAGAATCAACGCTACCCTCTCTCTCTCCAGTAGTGAATCGTACTTGCTTCCTCACAGTCTGATCATATCGACTTTGGCCGGTAAAAATTTATATTTCTTGAAACGAAACCCTGGACCTGTTCCTCGCCTCTGCTAAACTTATTCTAAACTCTAACTGGAGGAAGGAGGAGAAACTTCAATATCGTTTGTTCCATTCCACAAGTCCATGAATATCTCTTTTTGAGTTGCAATGTAAAATAAGGTTGACGACAGCCACCTTGGTTTCTGTTTGCAAATCCTTTCAGATCAGATCTTAGACTCGGGCCAGGCTATTTCTGGATCGTATAGTTGGCACTCCCTTCTTATCAATTTCTACGTATCACCGAACGCTATGACCCTTCGGGCGGGAGCTGATGGACCGCTGGTTGTGGAGAGGTCGGGAAGGGCGATCCCCGACGAGATTCCAGGCATTTCGCTAAGTTCATTCGCTTTCTTGAATTTCTCGCAGTCCGGTTGCAACAGGCTCGCACTGGCCGGTGGTTTGTCTCAATTTGCTTGTAATTTCTTTCTACTGTAATGCGCCTCGGTGTGTGTTGCTGTCGACTTCGCTTTCAGCACCTTGGTTGCCCGGAAGAGGTCGCTTCGAAGGATATAAATGGATATACATTTCGCAGAAGTTTCTGGATTTTAGGGGATTTGGAATGTCTCTCATGTGGTACAGAATTTCGATAAAAGATTAGAGAAATCTCTATGTCGCGGCATGCACCATTAAGATGTTCTAAAACCGTGGCTCTGAAAATTGTTCTTCCCCCCGTCCACGCTCCACCCATCCCAAAGAAGGGCTACTTCCATTTCCACGTGCAGATGGCTGGCTCAACGGTGCCGTGCCTGCGCTCCTGCCTGTCTCCACTGAGACGCACAAACACACGCGACACGTGGAAGGCTGGCGAGGGATGTAGATGACGCCGTTGATGACGTCACTAGCAAATTTTTAAGCGCGTGAGAAAGGCGTCTACAATATTTTACAAATGAGTTCCTACCATCTTTGACATGGGACCCATGTTTTCTACGAAGGAATCCTCCCGTCTGCGCAAGGAAAATGATGGGTTGGAATACCAAAGATTCGAAAAGCGTTATGCCCAGCGGCCTGATGAATGAGCTGGATGGCATGAGTGGACGAGGGATTACCAAGGAACAGCCAGGAATCGAACCCGGGCCCCCTGCTTGGCGGGAAGGTATCACTACACCACCGAACCCAGTACATTCAATGGGAAATCCCAATGCCATACCTGCACTACACCAGAAAGACGTGGAAATATCACCGCGCCAAGGAAATTTCGAGAAAAATAATAAAGTATTCGTAAAATTGGAATTATATAGAAGCCGAATACAAGGAAGTATAGCTATGAAATAATATCTCTGGCTTTGGGTCACGAATTCCTTCGTACCAACAGATTGTTAGGCATTCTGCTAAATATGGAAAAAAAATCAAATCAAGGATGTTGCTATATTCAATTAGAAGGCCCAAGTACATCAAGTATTTGACATCCAGGGCACGAGACATGAGAGTGAACGACTGCCTAACCTGGTGCTTGGCAACAATCCTGTTTCTCTACGACTCGTCGTAAGGACAACGCGACGTCATCTTTGCTGTATGGCAGCTCCCAAGAGACTGACCGATTGGTGGGGTGTGGCGCTATGACGAGGGGGGGACATCTTTCGGAACAAAACTCCTCTGTCATCGCAATGGAAGCCCGATTGAATTACCAAGCTATTGAGCTTGGTAGGCGGTAGGAATTCATTTGCAAAACACGGTAAGACATGGAGGGAAACTCTCCTAGTCATTCTTCCAGGAACGTGATCGCGAGGCAAAGATCCACCAATCAGGAACGAGAGGAAGACGCAGAGATCCACCAATCAGGAACGAGAGGACGACGCAAAGATCCACCAATCAGGAACGAGAGGAAGACGCAAAGATCCACCAATCAGGAAGGAGAGGACGACGCAAAGATCCACCAATCAGGAGCATGATGACGACGCAAAGATCCACCAATCAGGAAGGAGAGGACGACGCAAAGACCCACCAATCATGAAGGAGAGGAAGACGCAGAGATCCACCAATCAGGAGCATGATGACGACGCCAAGATCCACCAATCAGGAACGAGAGGAAGACGCAGAGATCCACCAATCAGGAATGACTTGATAGTCACGTTTGCTTCGGTATACCGTCCTATGATTCGTTTGAGCTCAATTGGACGGCACTATGAAAGCGTTCTCTAATCTGATCACACTCTAGAGTGAGCCTGTTATGCCGAGGAATGAGATCACGTGATCTTTTTTGCTGTAAAACGGGAATTTACGATATTTCCGAGATCTCCATTTTCTGGACAACCTGTGCAAGCTTGAGATGGATGGTGTTTCGTATACATAGATACGAGGAACAATGAGGTGTCTCTCTGTTGCATCAGTTCAACTGAAAACCATGGAAGTCCTCATGCAGGCTAAAATCTGGTGAAATATGCGTCAATTTTGAGTACATAGTCATTCGCAAGTTTCCAAGATTGCCGGGATCTGTGGAATTCGCTCGTGATTGTTCCAGGTCCGAAATACGTTGCCATTCGAAAAACTCGCCCGTCATCCTCAAAAAACGGGTAACCTGCCCAATGCAAACATGCCGAATTTTATTTCACCCCCAGTGTCTTGATTCGATTTCCTCCTTGATGAAAACAGAATAATGGAAACAGAGGAAGCAAAAGCAGACTAAACCCGTGGGTTCATCGAAATTCTGAATCCCACAAAATCCTCTGACATTTGCGTGGATAGCAGAAATTTCCAAGAATCTAATCGGGAATGCAGACGTGAAATTTACCTGGCTTGCCAGGTAAATTTAACATTTGAACATTTTGAGCAGCTTAGGTGCATGGTCTTGAGTGATTTAAGAATTGGTCATCGCTGGTCGAGTATTTTCCTTGTGTCGGAGTAACTTACATGTCGGAGTGACTTGCATCTTTTTCCAACTAAAATATTTTTAATTTATCAAAAGTTAATATCCAACTAAAAATTCACTTTTTCTTCAAGTGACTGAATGTAGCCTTGTCGCGAGAAAGCGCTTTTTGCGATGGTTTTGGCTCTCGTTTCGGTTCAGCTTGTCGGCTCGCTGATTTTCTTCGGATTGCATGCGTTGCTCGCCGGTCGACGCCCAACGACGCGTAGGGTTAAGGAAATTCCGGTTCTCAAAATGTTGAATTTGCTTAAAATGTGGCTGTGATTTACTCAAGACACCGTATGGAACTCTTCATGACGTTTCTATTCGATTCACGACTATATTCAGTCACTTGAAGAAAAAGTGAGTTTTTAATATGAACTTTTTTTTATGAAAATTTTTCTCCATGTAGCGGACAAAAAGCCAAACGAAAGACTCGCTTTTTCAAATACATCTGAAAGAGAAGTGCAACTTACTGTAAGGAGAGATTCGTCTTTTCCCTCGACACATAGGAGTACTTGGAGATCGAAATCGGCTGAATTTAACATTTTAAAACTCAACTATGATACTGAAACCTCATTCAAACGTCAAGGATGCAGGGGGATGAAGGATGAAGGGGGGGGGGGTCGGACTGGCAACCTAAGGTTGCCTTCCCCCCCCTTCATAAAGCAGACATAGGGGTTCCTCGGGAAATTTCCCAGTGTCCTTGTGGGCCAGTCCCCGACCCTGGACGCATGGAATGAATTGTTCACCTATTACGGAGTTTCGGTTCAAGCTATTGTACGCCGCGATACTATACGAACGGTTCCCCGAGATGGAAATTTAGCCGTCCATGGGGTTTTCCCGTTTTCCCCCTAAGTTCAGAGGTCAATGTCTCGCTAACAGCAGAGTAGGACGACTCTATTTTTTTTTTATGGGGCTGTCAGATCGATGCAATCTCAGAGAATTTTTTATCGCGAAATCCGAGATGGTCCATGGCACTGCCTGGTCGAGTTCATATAGAATGAGGCAGATCGGATTTCCCCTGGAAATGCCATCGTCCGGTCTGCATTCCAGAGCAGGGTTTCAATTGGAATCTTAACTCTGTCACCGCACTCGATTGCAGAATTTCTATTTTCACATTTTGATGCCTCCTATTGGTCAGATTTTGGGATAGGATGACCTTGAATAACATCTAAAAGTGAATGCTAAAGGACATTTATGTTTCTTGACCACTTTCTCCTCGTTGTTGCCGTTGAGTCAGTGGAATTCACTTCGTGGTTATGATTTTTTTTTCAAGTTTTATTTCATCAATACGGCAGTCTGTGGCTCTGTTTCTGTCCACGGCTTTCGCAACTACCTACCCTAATGTACGCATGCAGTGTCAAATGACAGTTCAGCTTCAGGATGAATAACGTGCTTTCATATCGAAACGAATAACGTGCTTCCATATCGAGACGAATAACGTGCTTTCATATCGAGACGAATGAAAGGAAGGAAAGGATCGGGAGGATTCATCCATCGGGGAATCGAAGCTTCATCCCTTCTTCCTTGTGTCCCCACAGGGCCATGGGGCCAAAGAGGGGCCACTTCTGAAACTTATCCGACTTCAAATACTCCTTGACGTTCGGGAGGTTCTCGAATCGGTCCATGAAGTCACGGACGACCGGGAAGTCATTCAAGCAATCTGGGTCCAGATACAGTTGCCAATCCAAGATTTCGTACCACAGGAAGTCCACGTATGTCAACTGAAAGGAAATCCAGAAGTTCCGAATGCGCGGATAATACAATTTCAAATGCGAAGTCCTTGACATGCATTACGCATGTGTAACATAAAAATAGTGAAATCAATCGTGATAAATTATTAACAGATCAGAGGAAAAATAAATGATTAATACACGATCGCCAAGGAGCCAGCTGCGACTGCCGATGAATTTCGTGAAGAGCTTCAAATGCATCGGAAGAGCCTCCTCCAGATACTTGGCTTTGGTCTCAGGAGTCTAAAAGGAATTTAAAATAAAATTCCTCTCTTTGCGATGATAGAGTCGAATCCCAGAATCCCGGCAACAAAGTGCACATACGAAAGCGAGGTAAACGGCTCGCCCCATGGCCATCATGAGGTCCCCCTGTTGCTGTTCGGCCATGTCCTGTCGACACTGCTCCTCCTCCGTCTGCCCGTAGAGGCCGTGCTTCCTTCCCAGATGGCGGAGGATGGCAAGCGACTGCGACAGCTTCACGTCCCCGTCTAAATAGTACGGCAACTAGAAAGATGTAAAAAAAAATAATCATCAGGCCGCATTACAGTGAAATATATATCCGGCTGAAGTAGACTAAATTCTTATTTATTTAAATATTTCCTAAGTGGCACGGGTTGCATGAATACTCGGAAACTCTTAGAAGTACTACTTTCCTTCATCAACGTCCCCAATGCACCTCCAACCCGTCTCTACATACATAATTCCTTCCGCATGGCATCCTGCTCAAAGAATCGATGACGAAGGAATTTTGCTCACATTGGGGAACTCCAGACCGAGTCCGTCCTTCTTGTCGTCGAACCAGGCGTCCCGTCCGGCGGGATCCATCTGGTACACTTTATTCTCCCATTCCACTCCCGTGTAGGTGAGAAGATTCCTTATGGGTTGGGCTCTCTGTCACGAGACAATTCACCATTTTAAAACGGAGAAAAGTATTTATTGCAATGACTGATTCTCCTTTAAAGCAATTTTATGTTCCCTAATTGCACACGCATTCGTGCACCCTTAGAAGTAAAATGAGCCCTTTCGTTCGATTCGATGTTAGGAAGAACAAGGAGACATTTTATTCATATTTCGTGTTTTCTGTTTGCATTTTTGTCGATGACCTCTGCAGGGCTTCCAGAGACTCCCTCAAGGTTTGGCAAATGCCTCGCGAATCTGGATTTTGTGCGCCGCGGCAGCGTCGGGGAATCGCGACGTCTGAGAAAGTCTTCGAAGTCGCGAATTCACGAACCAATCAGGGAGACGCTCATTGATTCATCGATACGTCGAAAATTTATTACGTCGTCCCGGTATCGGCTTCGTGATCCTCGAAAATTCCGAGAGACCAAAGCTAGAAATAATGCAGGCGTGTATCGATTTCAATCGACCAAATGCGGTCGACTCTCGCGCGTCAGGCCATCAAACCGTCCAATATTGCAGCCGATTCGCCCCAATTTGCGCATATGCTGGCTGATTACCGGAGTGAACTGATAGTACATTAAGTGGCTGGGGGAATGAGGGGGCAACGGACTCAATGTCGAGTTTCGAGGAGGTCCCGATTACGCAATGACTTCGGCCGAACAATAACAGCTCGAGATAAAGTGGTTTTACGCGTGTGAGGATACTCACAAGATAAGAGTACTCAATGACAGTGGCGGCCTATGGGAACGACCTCTTTATCGCAACTTCTGCCACATCCAGCAGATTTTTTATCATTTCCGAAAAGCACAACTTTGAGTGAATGGAAATTTATCTCTTCCAGGTAAGGTCAATTCGCGCTTGACGAGTCCGCGCGCTTCGTTTTGAACGCCGCGAATTATTCCAGGTGGATCACGGGGACGCCGAGAGACGAAAACCTCCGAGATGAAAACGAAAACTACGAAGACGCCGAGAGAGACTTTTCCGACACCCCTCGCACCGCGGCCCCCATCGACTCCCATAACGAATCCGCTCTTCGTAATCTGCAATACGACTTGCATCCGTCGAAAAGGAGAAAGGGACTCACTCCGCGGCAACTCCAGTATCCCAGAACGGGAGCCATGGTACACAGTCTACGGCGTAGGGGCGAATGCGCTCCTCCTTCATCGACCGCACAGTCTACACCAACGAGGGGCAGGCAGAAGGCATCTCGTGAATCGTGAATGGAGGGAGATACGGGCGACCTTGAAACACTCGGTGGCGGGAGGGGGGGAGAGAATGGAGTGGGGGATGGAGGGGCGAGGGGGGAGGGAAGGGAGAGGAGGGCTCTATTATGTTCTATCCCTGCTTTTGACCTTGGGATTACGACTTGTCATTGTGAAGTTCCACGAAGCGCCCTCTATATGGAAATATTCTATGGAGCTGGGAGAGCCAAGGCCGTTATTGCCAGGTCGTTCGCTCGGCTATGGCATCCTCGATTTTCGCCTGCAATCCTGTAATCGGTTTTCTCGCCTTTCAATTTCTGTTTCGAGAGGCTTTTCTCGGGAATTCTTGGTGTTTTTATGGTCGGCGTCTCGTTGCCAAGGCAACGCCGGGCGAACACTCCGGAACGGTACGATGTGTATATTTTAAAACAATTTTAAGTCTTAATCAAGCGGCAGTTTAATCCCGTTTGAAGCAGTCACCAAAATTAGGGATAATCCATGTTTGCAATTCTAGGGGAGATTTGTATTAGTATTTAATATGGCATTCTTGGGTGGAAAATAATTGAATCATACCGGTTCACAGTTATAAAACATTACGAAATTTAAACCGCAAAATTCTTTACGTGATTCAGGAGCAAAATGAGGAAAAGTGTTTAAAGACACTGTAATAGTGAAATTACGAGGCATACATCTCAGTCTGCACAACAATATTTACTCAATGTTTATCATTGGCTGACGATGTTGACGGAATGTTGATGCTGATGACGCTATGGATAGCCATCATCGACCCGATGTTAAAAAATGAGACAAAGATCGACATCGCGAGGACATGGAATTCGCGCGGCACTTCAGTAACGGCACTCGGTGCCTTGTCCACGCTACACGAACATCGGGCGAGTCAGTTTTCTCCCCACAGACCTGTCACCGGCTTCCCGGATCCGACGAAAGCGGCAACCCGACCCAACGAGCCCCCGGGGCGACTCCGAGCCGAGAAACGGAGAGACGACAGCCCGCATCCGCCTCCATGGAACCCCTCGACCAGACTGAGCGGACGTCTTCGCGAGTCGCGCGAGAAGTTCCATGCCGCGAGGTGGCGCCACTACATCGAACCCTTTCCTCCTCGGGCCTCAGATGCCCCTCTAAATTGAATCGACGGTCCTCAGCAGCTAAATTCTCAGCAGTGTTGAGACCTGTCTCATTTTTGCCAATAGAGATTCAGCCTTGAAATTGCAATATTATTTTGCCGACTGGGATGAAACTGAGCTTTTTTTTCCATCCAGATCGGTGAGAGCCAATCCATCGTCATGGTGAGTCAGTCATGCAACGCATTCAGGGATTTTATATTTCCTAGAATGGATGACCGGAGACCTACAGGAGTCGAAGACGAATCGCTCAGAGAACGCGAGAGATAAGAAACACTCCCAACTCGGCAAAAAACTTTCCATTTCGATAACTCACAGAGACAGAGACGGAGAAAGAGAGAGAGAGCATTTGAAGATACTCTTAATATCTTCACAAATGCCCTCTCTCTCTCTCTCTTTCCACATGACCAATTCATATCTATTGAGCAAACAAAAACTCTTGATTCTCTATTGAAATTAAATCCGTTAGAATTGTTTTTGACAAGATTTGATGTTTCAGTGGAATTAACTCCAACTGTTCCCAGGTCGACTTAAGTCAGCAGTATCCTTCACACGTCGAAATCTTTTATCCACTTTAGTTACTCTGGTTAGTGGAAATTTAGTTAGTAAAACTGCCACTAGATGGAGACAGGGTTCGTTTCGGATGCTGCTTTGTCGCGAGTTCAGCTTGCAGCCTTTTTTTCTCCTATTTTCACTCTGGTTGCAAAAGCCACCATGAGGAACGTCGCCGTGAACGACGGAAGACAAGGAAGATGGGGCCAAGAGGCAACAGCCAGCAACATCTCAGGCCCGCAAGATGGCCGCTCGGCAGAACGACCTGCACTTTGAGGCATCGGATGGGCGTAGCTCGACGGAATGTGTCCCGCATGTTCCACGAATGTTCCCAACGTGAACTTTTCCCGATTCCCTACTACCCGACATATCATCCCCCGACGAAAGCCAAGTGAGGAAATGTATTCCAAGAAATTACTTAAACGAATCGACCAGAAAGCCCTGCTTGAATTCGATAACACTCAGCCGTGTGGCTTGTCCTTCACCTTCGTTCGCATGCAGCCGGAGGTGAAGGGTGGAAGGAAAGATCCTTATCTAGATTCCTGTTTCCCTAGGCTCGGTTGGAAACCAGTGAAAGAAGTATTGCACATGGACACGACCGACAGTGCCATTCGGCATAACACAATCGCAGAAGGGTTAGGACAAATCAGCCATCAAATAGTGTACTTTTGCGAAGGACAAATGATCACATTGAGGGTTGGCGCGCGCTTTTGAAGCAACTGTAGGCACCAATCATCCACACATTTACGAGATGGTGGAAGCTCTTCGAAAAGAACAAGCAGGAACAAAAGATTGAGCAATTGCAGGCAGGGGCTATACCTCGCCCCTCCCAGAATAAGTATGAATAAGCTTACAAGCGATCGCCTGCTGACTGCGGCAGCCGGGCAATAGAAGACTACTTACAATTGCTGTGATTCATGGGGGCATGTTGTGACTAGTCGGCACACATTTGACAGGTGTGTTATTTATCGTATGTAATAAAGACGCTCGGTCATTGTTCGGTGGTCGGAACAGTCGAACGTGCCCAACAAACGAGTTGAGACAGTCGAACGTGCCCAACAGACGAGTTGAAAGAGTCGAACGTGCCCGACAGACGAGTCAGGCCTCGGATGGCCATCGGAATGGAGGGCGCGTGGACGTTCAAGACGAAGTTCACTGAGAAACCATCGGAAAATTCTCCACAGCTGCTAGAAATTAATCTCCGACTATATATTTTCACATTAAAGTAAGTTGAAGCTGTGTTGGCCGTAATTGCAGACTTATAGTAGAATCCGTTTGGAGAGTTTTTCTGCCTTTAAAACTTTGTCCATCCCCAGGCAGATGACCGAATTTTAACTCAAGCCTAAAATTATAGCGCGGCGGAAGTGATGCGATGCGATGTTTTAACGAGGCTACTATAAAGAAAGATGCTGCTCGGTCACAACTTCAGAAGGGAAAGTCGGATTTAGTTTCTGTTTTAGACCGACGACCTCAAGGGTTTCCGTTCCGAAAGCTGCAGTCGCTTTTGGAACCGAAAAAAATTCGAAACGATCGAAAATTTGAAGCAATCCGCATCCGTTCCCGCGTGCGAACTTCGCGACTGCTGCGGTGGTTCCTCTTCCCGGATCGTTTTGCTACGTTTCTATCCTTGCTCTGGCGTCTAAGCAGGTGCGACGGCAGCGCCACCTCTCCTAATGCACTGCAAGATCGAACGACATTGGGTGGAATCATTGCAATTTTTAGGTTCACAAATTACGGAACGTGATTTTTTAAACCTTTTTTGACCCCCCCCCCAATAAATTAGTTTATTAATCACTCATAACTAACACTCTGGCTTAGACACATTGAGAGATGACTAAAATGATTGTAAAAAGGAAAGGAAAAGTTTTTACTCTCATTCGGTTCCTTCTTCAAGAAAATAATTTTCCTTTGCCTTTGTTCACTTAGATGGTGATCACCCATTTGAGATATAAAAAATGAGTAAGAGGAGACGGGGAAATGTAGGGTAGAATGGTGGAAACAGATATTGCGTTGCCGAGAGAGAGAGACACGCGAGCAACGTCCAAAGGGTAACTGAACCTGTTTGGCCTGTCTGGTCAGGTCCAGGCACGAAACGGCGACTTAGCGAGTTTTGCAACAGGGGAGAGGGAAGTGAACAGACGTTCCCACACTTTCAATGCCCACTCCACTGTTAGTAAGGGTGGCGGGTGCGGGTGG